TTGGATGATGACTGTCAGTTCTGATAAAATTCTTCAGTTCATTTTTAAGTTTTTAATAACTCTTATAATAACGTTAAGTATTTTTATATTTAATATAATTCCATGTATGGACTTGTTATCTCCAGACAAATGACTTGTGGTCACTTCAGGAAACAGGCTCTGGTGTCTTGAGATAACGAGACATGGTGTCTGTAGATCTGAACTTGTTATGTTCAACATGCTCCTGACTGACTTGAACATTAAAGGTACATGTCCGTTCCCTCTTGTCTCCAGACCAAAGGTTCATATGATTTCACCCTGAAGTCTTTTGCATCTTACACGGACTTCATGGAGTTCTCCATGAAGGAACGCATGAGCCAAACCTCTTTCTCCATCGGCATCGGCGTTCCAGGTGTTTTCAATTTTGGATTTAACTACAGCGACTCTAAATACAAAAAGTCAGCTCAGAAGACCCGTCGTGCCTCTGGCAATGTGAGGCGACATCTTTATTTTTTTCCTTTTGTTGAAAATGTTCCCCAATGACAATCCAACCACCTTTTATAGCTTCTGGAGTCCTTCATGTGTGTTCTCTTATATCCAGACCAACAGTTTTATCAGAGCCAAAGCAGAACTGCAGTTGGCCCAGTACATCCTGAAATCAGACGATCTGGTGCTTCACCCAGAGTTCCTGCTTCGCCTTCGCTCCCTGCCGCAGGCCTACATCTATGGCGAGTACAGGCAGATCTACAGAGACTACGGCACCCACTACATCACTGAGGCCACGCTCGGGGGAGACTATGAGCACACCATCATCCTGAACAAGGAGAAGCTGGAGAAGTCAGGTTGTAGACGCATCAGATGTTCTTTAAAGGAAGTTTGACTCAGAGTCCACACTGTGTTTGGACAAGTTTGAGCAGTGAAATATAAATATCGGTAATCACGTTCTGCATTTGACGTTTCTAGATTATTCTTTAGAAGACTACAAGAACTGCGTACAGGCAGGCCTGAATATTGGGGCGAACATAGATGGAATTTATGTATCCTTGGGAGCCCAAGGTGGAAGCTGTGATGGCCTTCTGAATGAGATGGGAGGTGAGATTGCTGATTGAACGTCTTCGGTTCTGTAGATGTTTGTCTTTGATAGGACCAGGACTGTGGCTTTGTCCCCCCTTTAGAGGACACAAAGAAGGGCAGCATGGTGGAGGACTTTGATGCTGTTGTAAGGGGTGGAAGTAGTGAGTCCATCTCTGCTTTGATGTCTAAGAAGCTTCCCACTCCAGAGCTGATGAGACTGTGGGGCGAAGGCGTTCGTTTCAACCCTGACTTCATTCGCACAACGGTAGGTGGACCAGTCCAAACACACAAACCTTAACGTGCGTGTAACTGTTGCTTTGAGCTAAAGGTTTAGAAACCGTTTATTTACCGGTGTATCTTTGACTAGTTGGAACAATAGACCTTATTTGATAACAAGTGTTTCAGCTATAAAAATGAGTCTGTAAAAATATTCTAGGCTGTTTAGTTTTCTTTTTTTAATTATTATTATTGACACACAGATGTCACCATTTTATTTCCATTCTAGATAAATAATGTAGACTGGCTGCCCCGTTGCGAGATCCATTCAGCTTGAATGTTAACTTTAGATATAGCATTTGATCTAGAGCTAATATAAATAGGTATAAAATTTGTTACAGAGCTATCAGGCTGGGGCAGCTGTGGCTGAGTGGTTAGAGCAGTCGTCTTCCAATGGGAGAGTTGGGGGTTCGATTCCACCAGCAGTCACATGTTGAAATGTCCCTAGGCAAGACACTGAACACCTCATTGCCTCCGATGTGTGTCCCATCAGTGTATGAATGTGATAAAGCACTGATTATTCTTGTGCAGATCTAGCAGAGTGTTGTATGAGTGGGTAAATGAGGACACAGATTGTGTTGTAAAGAGCTTTGAGTATCTTGATCAGATAGAAAGGTGCTATAAGTGCAGTCCATTTACCATCAGTGTTAGCTCCAGAGCTAAATATATAGCATTAGCTCAAGCGCTAATAGATGAAACATCTTAAGTTGATCACGTTTGATCGTTTCAACCCATATATTGTGCATAAGGACTCGTGCAAAATGTTATTGTCACATGTTATATCTTTTCAGCCTTGACTCGTTGTTTTCTGTCTCCGCTACAACTGATGTACGGCATCGACACGGATTGCATTTCGCAGATAAAATTAATGGTGATGTCCTTACGTAAAAATTGTAATAAACGTATA